ATATTTGGGAGAAACCGGGGCATAATGACATCTCCACTAACTAACTTGACAAGAGCAATCCCTCCGGTAATGACTAAGAACACAACTGCCAGTGCGACAGCTAAGGCAGAAGTGAACCTCAATGAATCTGCAAAATAACAAGGCAATTAAACAAAGAATGAAATTCAATTTCTGTATCATGCGTAAAAAATTGCTGCTGCTAAATGGCAATAAAGCAGCTAGAGGTAACGTATAAAGCATCTTTTTCAATTAAGACAGTAAGTGCAAAGGAACTTGTGCACAAACCTATGCGCTTAAAGCCTGCCAATGGAGCAAAAACAGCAAAGGTGATAACAAGAAGAACAACGATGCGCTCATTCCACCAGTGTTCTGCAAACCAACCTTCCAATACACCTGTATGGTGAACTCCGCTAGAAGATGTTCCAGATAGTACATCACCTTCCCAAAACACACATGATTAAAATTTCATGACATCTGTTCAAAATGATGGATTCAAAAGGGAATAGTTTCTCAACATTACATGATCTTTTTACCTTTTAGATCAGATAAAGCTAAGGCTCACGTTCACTTCTAACTTCTGAAAATACTCATTCAACTTGCACTATGTTTCGGAGGAAAAATGAACAGAAGAGGACAGTGGTTGTAAATTGTGTCTACTTTAGGTACGCTAAGGAAACAATGGAGTATAATATATAACAAAATAGCAAGTTAAATACTTTAGAATAAGACATAACTTTATCTTCCATTTCCTTTTACTTTTCCCTTCTCATTTCCCCAGTTTAGTAGAATAAAACAAACTCACGAAGCTAAATAAGCACTTCCTGGAACACATGGAGCAATCACAGAAAAGCAGAATTTACAGAGTATTACCAAAACCCAGGAAATGAATCACAGTGGCAACATTATGATTAAAGAATGATCAAAAGAATCAACGGAATATGAACTCACCAATAATAATCATGTAAACAACAAGCACCCCAACATTGTTAACCAGAACACACCCCTGAAGTATCCTTTTCCCAACAACCCCAAAAGCGTCGCCCATCACGTCTCCGTAAGACTCAGCCTTTGCCGCCTTACCGAATCTCAACAAAATCTCTAAAGATGCCTCCGCCAGTACAGCCACGAAAACTATCAGACCGAGGCCAAGGCCGAGTCCCAGCACCTTCATGGCGGCCGGCAACGCCATGATTCCGGCACCAATAATGGTGGTAGATAGATTAAAGACTGCGCCGCTAAACGAAGCTCCACTGAAACCGCTATCATGATCATCGCACTTTGTTGGGAGCAAGGGTGATTTTTCGGTGTTGGGTCCGTTGGGTTTCTTTGTTTTCTTAATTGGCTTATCGTGAATCGCCATGGTTTTGCTCCGATGATTTTTGTTGGTTACAGGAAATATTAGGAAAAATGTTATCAGCTGCCTGGCA